CAACATTGTTATCAATTTTCAACCTTGTTTTAGAATACGAGTGTGGGAAACAGCAATGTGCCTGGCTTCCTTTTCCCAGTTTGACTTTCCTCTGGGGTTAATAACTCTCTGTTCTCTATCCACGGCAGAGAAATAAGAAATAGGGCTCATTCTGGCTTGGCTTTCACTGGACATCAATGGTCTTTCTTTCTTCGGGGGTCCCTGGAAATTATAAGTTTTGTTTTCTCCACCTTTTCTTTGTCTCTTAAGAATCCAGTGAGTAACAGTGTGTTGAGCCCTACCGAGCGCCTAATGAATACAGGGGGAGAAGTAAAGGATCGCCAAAGCATACAAACTAGATTCAAGCAGCCATCTGTCGAAGAGACAGACACTAGTTTTCAGAAATTGTAACAATGGTCAGAGTTGTGGAGAACGGTGCATGGGCCAAGGAACTCATAACCCTGGGGAGTCAGAAAATGCCCCAAGAAGGTGACACACACGTGTGGTCCTGAGAGATGAGGAGTCAACAGTTAGAAGGCTGTGACGGGTTTTTAGACAGAGAAGCGAGCGTGTGAGAAGATGGCTAGAAGAACATGAAAGTGGGGGTGGGGTGGGGGGGTGTGCATGTGAGCAGAGACGACAGAGCTTCCTGAGGTGAGGGAAGTGGAAGCTTTGTCTGAAGATGCTGAGGAGCAGTGTCTTATCAGCCTTTCAGATCTGGGTTTTGTGTTTATAGTCAGTAGTAACCAGGCAATGTTTTCATAGGTCACTGGTAGATCCCGTTTTCTAAGAGGGGGTTGGACTAGGAAAGGGTAGAGGGACCCATCCTAGGAGAGAGAGATGGGTTTGCCAGACAGGAGAAGGGTGATACTTCACCAATGAAAGGGGAGGAATGAATCAGGGGTAAATGCTGAGCTGTGTTTGAACATATACTCATTAGTCATTGAAGGGAAGAAGCCCAGGAGGATGAATAAAGCTTTATCTATACATCCAGAGAGGATGCAGTCTGGGGATGGGGAGCCAGAACTCACCTGGGAACAGATGGCTTTTATCCCAAGAGAATGGCTGGGAGACTGGGGCAGGCCTTGTGTGGACAGAGTGTTGTACTCAGGAGCTAATTTACACTGAAGATGCTGTGAGGTACTAGATGAATATCATTTGTTTAGACCAGGAGTTGTTGGAACCCTGGGACCTCTTCTGAGGAATCTCAGAAATACCAAGAACTTTATGCAAATGTATTTTCATGTGGGCACAAAGGCTACAGCCTTTACCAGATTCTCAAAGGTATGGGAGACAAGAAAGGGTTAAGACCCATATATTCCCACAGATAGTTGTCATCAGTTAATGACATTCCTGCAGTATTTAGGATTTGAACTAAACTGAGGAAAAGATGGGGTCGATCATAGAAATACATTTCATGCAATGATCTGGTCTTATTCAGTGGTTTGCGGAGGAAGGGGAGTGAAGATTCTAGGGTCTACCCATGATGAGAGGGGAGAAAGTATTTAGGTAGTCTGTGCTTTTGTTAGAAATGCTTGTGTTCTGCTCAAATCTACACAAACGCATTTTCCAATCAAATATGTGTCTGATCATCAGCAAAAGTTACTTTGCTGTGAGGCAAAGACCCGCCACCCTTGGCAATCTGTAAGATACAGGTAATTCAGTCCCTTCTCTGGAGATCACTAGCCCACTGCCACTCCGCTAGTATCTCTGGCTTTGTATCACCTCTGAAATCTGATCCGGGCTTCTTAGCTGACCTTGACAGCACCTAGGCAAGCCTTTCTTCATAAAAAACCTCCTCCACATAGAAAAGCTGTTAGAACCATTCTTTCCTTCATAGAATCTGAGTAGACTCCAAAATTCCCCAGTCACACATCTAATGAGGTCCCAGTATCCCAGGTACACAATGAGTTCTTGTAACTCAACAGTAATAATTAAAGAGAAAAAAGACCTCAAAAATGAGCAGAGGACTTTAGTGGGCATCTTCCAAAGGAGATGAACAAGTAGGTGGTTACAAGAAAAGGTGTTGGCCATCACCTTCTTCTGTCATGAGGGACAGATAGATCAAAACAGCAAGGAGACACCACCCCAGTGCCGAGTCATCTTAAAAATAAAACAGGGGTCTGGACAGATGGTTTGGGAGTTCAGAGCATAGGTTACTCTTGCTGAGGACCAAGCTGACTTCCAAGCACCCATGCTGGGTGGCTCACAGTTGCCAGTTACTCCTGCTCCAGGGGCTCCAACAACCTCTTCTGACCTCGGCAAGCGCTCCACTTAACATTTGTACACATACAATTATGAGTAAAAATAAATCTTTTAAAAAGAAATAAAACCATGAGGAATTAGAGGAACTGGTGTCTTCACACATGACTGGTAGGAATCCACACTGGTGCAGCCACTGTGAGAAAGAATTTGGCAGTTTCTCAACAAGTTAAAGATAGAGTTACCCTGTGATCCAGAAACGCTACTCCTAACTCTGTCCCCAAGAGGACTGAAGGCATATGTTCCAAAAACAACTCGATATCACAGAAACATTAAAGGCATAAAACACAAATGTCAGTTAACTAAATAATGGGTAAGCAAAATGCTATCCACACAGACAGTGGAATAGTATTCGGCGATCAAAAAGGAGGAGGCATTGCTACCTTGCAGACCTTGAAGACACTATGCTATGTAAATGACGACTGAAATATTCAGAGACTTGATTCACATGAAATTTCCAGGACAAACCCATAAAGGCAAAACATAGACGAGTGGTAGCTGGTAACTGAGAGGAAATGGGAATTAGGAAGTACGAGGTAATTTGCAAAGTGACAAGAATGTTCTGGAATCAGTCATGACAGTCACTGATAATCACATGGCAATCACAACACCGCCATGTGTTAAAACCACAGCTTGCATGCGTTAAAGTACTTAAGATGGAGATGTGCGAGGTACATGAACTTCACCTCAACTTAAAATGTGGAACAAAATTGGCAAGGAATGTTAGGTTGGCCCTGGAAATAGCAAGATCCAGAGTTCATAAGCTTTTCTCTAGGCTGCTTGTCTATGGAGAAGCTGATCTATGCTCACATGGGCTGAGGCTTCTCGATGACTCTGATGTCAGCAATATCAACTCAAAGCCAGCTAAGCGCAGGACAAAGTAACCCTCACATATCAGAGACCTGAAGCAAAAAGCAATTCTGGTGTGAGTTTGCCTCGTGAATGTATTTCTAAAACTGGGGGAAGTGAAAAGTCGGGGGGCTCCAGTGGACATTCATCACCTTTCTTAGAGGCTCCAGAAATTAAAAACGTGCCAAGTGCAGTAGAGTGAAATACCCTAAGCCAAGCTGTCTGCTTCTTTCCCCTAGGCTGTGTCTCTTCTAGAAATGAAGCAAACATTTGCTCCGACTGGCAATTTGAGATTCTGGTAATATTCACTCTTATTTAGCATACACACACACACACACACACACACACACACACACATACGTACTAATATTTGGATCCCTGGGTAAGTAATTTGTTGGGACCTTCCTGCAGATTCCCAAGAAGGCTGACTGCGTTTCTATTTGTCTTCTTATGAATAAGCAGAGGATCCTGATTGAAGAAGTGGAGAGCCGCAACGTTTTAAAGGGAGCTTGATAACAGCCTTAACTGCTATAATTACAACCGAGAAGGTGTTGGTCATAGTAAGAACATTGGACAACCCTGCTGTGGTTTGGAAGACTGTAAATGCAAGATTCTTTTTCAAAGCAGCTTGCACTGGCCCCGTGAATGTCCATCATACCTACCAATCCTTTCTATTTTCTGTTTTCTTTCCTTTCCTTTCTTGCCTTCCTCCCTCCCTTCCTTTCCCTCTTGTTTTTTTCTTCTCTTTCAGTACTGGGGTACTGGGGGCTGAACCCAGAGCTCCCCAAGGCAGGCAAGCAGTCTATCCCTGAGCCACACGCCAGACCCCTGTTAGTTCTTCATTGGTTCTGTTCCCAAGCATCCTTTTGACATTTGGCTTCACCATAGATATTTTCCAACAGACAGACAGGAACAGACACATGACTCCTGGGGTCCAGTACAGAAGAAAATGATTGCCCATTCCAAGGCCACCACAAAACACAAACCCAGCAGCTTGGACACTTGGACACCCATGACCTAGGAGGTCTATGACCAATCCTCCCGGTTCTGACATCTTTCTAGGAGCGAGGTCAAGTTGCCTCATCTTCTAGGACCTTCCCTCGCTTGAGGAATGAAGTTAGTCATTTTTCTACCTTATTGAGTCCTGCGCTCCAATGCCATGGGTTAATACATTTTTCATTCACTATGGGGAACAGAGCTTCAGATACTCGGGTCAGGCATGGATGGCAGAAGAATATTTGTTGAGCTAAGGGCAGTCCTTCCAATCATCAGGAAAGGAACCTAACAGTTGTACTCACTCCCAACTCCAACCCAACCCTTCACCCTAGCTCTGTTTATTAGCTGTCTCCACAGCACATCAGTGGCAGGGGTGATGAAATCGGTGGCGGATTTCACCGTCAGGCAGCTGGGTCACCATCCCCTGGGTCTTGTTGTCATGTTACGGTCTTAAAGTGACCATGGCTGCTTGGATCACTACCTTCCAAAAGGCTAAGAGACCACAGAATACTTAACTGGTGAAAAAGAAAGACCAGGCCGGCTGGGAGCGGGGGACTGTGGCTTGCAGAAAACACACCGAGAAGCAGCTTTGAAAACTCCCAAGGTGGCTGAGTATCAAGAACATGGCCCCTGCTGCGGGCAGCTGTGAATGCAAGGGGCAGCCCGAGGGCTGAGAAGCAAATCTCCATCCCCGGCTGGTGCCTCTCCCAGGAGGCTCTGCCAGTGGAGAGGGAGAGAGAACCTAAACACTACAAAATGAAAAAGGCCTCCATCCTGGTAGAGGGAGGTTATCATCGATGCTATCTTTTGTATGGCCAGGCGCTAACAGCGTGGGATGGATTTGAGGAGAGTGGGAGTGGGAGAGAAAAACCAGGGTGACTTATTTAATAGGTGTGATCCTCGGGGCCCCTTACCTGGAACCGTCTCATGTCCCTTGGGTTTCCTGCTGTTTTCAAACAATTCTGATTGCACTTCAGGAAAAATTTTAAAAAGAATCTGTGAAGAGAAAGCAATGTGTTACTTTTTTTTCCCCCAGTAAACATATTTTAACGAGAGACACTATCTGTGTTCTATTAGATTTGATTTGAGAAAAAAAAAAATAGGCGATTGTGTTTCAGGTCTGGGGAATTTCAAGCAGCCGTGCCTGAGAGAGGAACACTGCTGACCCTCTGCAATTTGCAAATTTGGATGTTTTCAATGGCGGGCTCAGACCCCCCTCTCCATCACGGTAGGGGATTGTTAAAGCGGTTCCCAATCTGGGCTCCAGTCTGCACACCCACCCGCCTGAAATCTGCACAGCCTTCAGTCTACCGAAGAGGGCTCCGAATGCAGCAGTGACCCCTACTGTCCAGAAAGTATTGCTCCCGGGTTAAAAAGGACAGGACACAGCCCAGAGCCCAGGACTCCTCCGGTCCCTGCCTTCCACTGGTCACACAATACCTTCATGCTCACATCTGAAGGTGGTCTCAGAGCTTCTCACAACATGTGCAAAAATCATAAAACAGTATATAATTATCCAGAGCTCAAGTCCGCCGGGCAAGGATACCCCAGGCATTTATGATTAATAGCAAATAGGAGCGACCTCTCGGTCCCTCTAGAGACAATCCGGAGAAACACAAATCATGATCTGTGGTTATTGTTTGTAAGACATGATTTTTCTTTTTGAAGCCCATATCCCCTTAAATTATCTGTGTCCTTTCCAAACTGGGCACCTCAAATCCAATAGTCTCGCCAGCCGAGGAAAAATGACAGAAGAAACCTTTGCAGCAATTTGCCCCCTTCTTCTTTAAAATTTTGTTTCAAAATGCAGTAAGTTTTTCATTTATTTCACTTGCAGAGTCCTTTTCCTTAAAAAAAAAAAATCCAGCTTTTGCAGTGTTGAAGTCCCAGGTGAGCTAGGCCTATTTCCCTTTCTGTTACTATGACAACGAAATTTTACCGCAGTCCCAAGGTCCCTTCAGAACTCTCGCATCTACGCCTTGAATTAGAACTTTAAAGGAGAAGATATACATTTTTTCCCCAGGATTTACCAACAAAAATAAGTAGAAATCAACCAGTCTTAGGAAAATTCTATTTTAAAAGCCCTGGTTGGTGAGATGATCTCGGCATAACCTTCTGCTTGGTTTTGGTTTTTTTGTTTTGTTTTGTTTTTAAACAACAACCACACAAAAGAATTTGAGAGCACTCCAATTAACTGTACGTTTCACTAAAGATATAAACCAATGAGAAGATGCCAGTAAGCAGTAATGGACAGAGGGAAAGAATTGGTCTGTCTTGTTTCTGAGACTCTTAATCTTTGTTTGCCGAAAAACATTTGGCAGAGGTCTCTCCAGCCCTATCTGTGAATAAGGTTGGGTGCAAATTTGGAAATGGCAGCTAAATATTTTTCCATTATTTAACATCTGGTTTGGGTTTGTCTCTGGGGCCATCTTGTACGGGGGTATGTGGGAGGTCAGGCTTTTGGTGCCATGGAGGTATGGGGGGTCTTGATCAAAATTCTCCAAAAGGACCAGGGCAAAGCAAGCACTTTGTGTGCAAGCACTGTGCACAGTATGGCACACTCATAACCTGCCCCAGCTTTCCAAAGCGCAGGGAATGCCTGCCTGTGCTAAGTTGGGTGGGCTGAGAAGGAGGACGGCTTTTGTTTCAGCCAGCATTTTCTTTCTGGGTGGAGAGACGTGTCTACATTTGTACACTCACCAACTAAGACCACTCTCTGGATGGAGAGATGTGTCTATGTTTGTACACTCATCAGCTGCGACCACTTGCAAACCCTGCCACCGCTCTAAGGATCGAATACAAACTTGGCTTGCTCACGGGAGCCTCTTTCCAAACGAGAGCCCCCACCCCCCCAGCATGTTTGCTCCCCCCCCGACACACATCTACCCCAGTCACTTCTATCTCTCCCCCCACGCCAAAGCCAAGTTGCGTGCGTCTTCTCATTGGCGCCTTGATTTTTTCTGAAGTTTTGCTTTTCAACAACTGGGCTCCAGATAATGCATTCTGTGTGCCCTGCATGCACTTTCCCTCTCTCCTCCCCCACTCCTGTTCCAAAAAAAAAAAAAGAGGGATCTGGTGAAAGCATTAATGTTCACCAAGCCATTACTTCGAGAACCGTGTGGTAGGTGGAAAAGTGCGAAAGAGATAAATGTTTACATAAAATCCAATTGATTTAGGGAAACATGCGGCCTGGTGAAAGGCTTTTTTCATTTTAAATTAGGACCCTAAACAGTTCTTCGGATGGAGAACACCCAATTTTGATTCTCTCGCCTGTCCTAGGGCTGAGTGTGCAGCCTACACAGCAGATCCCTGCATACCAAGGATTTAGCATTTGGCTCACAAAGGGGAAAGGAGCAGAGGAGAGGGGGAGTAGGAAGAGAGGGGGAAGATGGAAGGGTGTTACATTATTAAATATAGAACTGCTAAAATGGATAGGTAACATTGGAAGTACTGCAGTGGACGCTTTTACATGTGAATTTAAAAATTAATTAAAAGAAATTCTAGAACTTACAGACATTGTCAAATCTCTCTTAATATTTTACTGGTATCTTCTCTCTCTCGCACACATACACACACACACCTTTCCCAACTTCTCAAAACTCTTCACTATCCATATCATATATGAGCCACAGAGTAACTTGCAAGGAACAAATTCTCTCAGAATCCCTTGGGTCTCGATTCCTCCAAAACCAGAGGTGCCTGGACAATGTCAGCTCTCTCTCTCTTCAGAAACAGAAAACCCCAAAGAATTCCAAGATTCAGACCAAATGTGCCAATTCTCCTTAGCACGAGAGTGATTTCCACTTTTTCCAAGCAAGAGTGACTACATGAATATTATAACCACTCAGCATGCTGCTGTTTGCCCGTCTTCTGACTGCATTCCTAACAAACAAGATTCAAACAAGAGCAGGGGTAGCCTTGCTGTGGGATAGAGAGGTCTGGAGATGTGGGGTCAATAACTGAACTCCAGACCCTGGCATTCCAGCGGGATTCTTGGGTCACTGGGGCGATGTTAGGTCCCAGAAGGCTTTGCTTCACTTTCACAAATATGCATTGAAAGTGAACTAGCCTTGACCACGTGCCCACACTAGCCCCTTCTCTGGGCCTTAGTCCCTCCAACAGGTAAAGGAAATGTTCAGCTGGATTATCCTGGAGTTTGTTGCAACATTCATGTTCTATGATTGGTAAAAAAATAAATAAAGGCAGAAGGGAGAGCCTTCCAGAAAGAGGTGCTCTGGGGCAAGAGCCTACTGATGATCAGAGACAAAAGGAAAAGAAGGAAAAGTAGAGTCATTAAAGTCTACATGAAAAAATCTATCGGGCAGGGTACACCCCTCTGACCCGTAAGATCTTTCTCTGCATTCCTGGGGAAGGGGAAATGAATGAAGAAGACCATAGAAACCTATCAAACCCTGCCGCCTTCGGTATGGTGAATAGCTACAGGGTTTGGGTTCACCAAAGCAGAAGAGGAGATTAACTGCCATGTCTCTAGGTTGGTTCTCCCTTTATCCTATGGGATACATTCTAAAACTCCCAGGGGATGCTTCCAATCCCTAGTGATATCAAACCCTATGTATTCTCTAGGTCCTCACACACATATGACAGTTTAATTTATAAATTTGGCACAGTAGAAAACTAGTAATTCCTAATTCATAAAATTCAAACATAGCTATGTGCTGTAATTCAATTTTAAATTCATGAGTTGTTTACATCCAGAATTTCCTATTTCATAATTTTGGGCCATAGTTGACGGTGGGTAACTGAAACCCGGAAAAGTGAAGCGGTAGAGAAGGAGGCATTATATTATGTCCTTGGTACACAAAGCATCATTTAAGTCTTCAAACAGTCCTCCCAGTGGAAAGCCATCTCATGAGTGGGGGAAAAGAAGGTCTCAAGAATTTGAGAAAAGTGTCAGGGACCGACACAATGGACACACAACTAGAACCTGGATCTTTATGGCAACTAGCGCCATCTGGTGCTCTCTGTTTCCCTACACTCTGGTGATGGTTCTACCATCTCCTGAGTACACCTAAAAACCACACAAGTACGCATTTCAAAGGGTTGGCATCTGGTAGTGGTGCACGCCTTTAATTCCAGCACTCAAGAGGGACAGACAGGAGGATCACTCTAAGTTCAAGGCTAGTCTGGTCTACAGAGTGAGCTCCAGTGTAGACAAGGCTACACTGAGAAACCCGTCTTATAAAAACAAAAGGATGGGTTGGCATCATGCTATGAAAATTACATCTCGATAAAGCTGCTCACTGTGTCTCCCTACACGGCAGTCTAAATAAGGAAAGAACAGCAACAGAAAAGGAGAAGAAACAAGTGAGTGGGGTAATGAGAAGGAGGGATCTGGCTTCTAAAAGAGCAAAAACACCTGAGAAGAAAACATTAGGTCAAAGACCAAGAAATCCGTACTTGACATAAAACCTCTGCTTGTCTGTTCTGGATGTCTCAAAAAGGTCACACAGGGGTAAAGGGCTTGGTTTTGTGAAGGACACCACCAGAATGTGCTTGCCCCAGAGTTTCAAATGACTCTAGAAACTTCTAGATATGGGTTTGAATAAGATCAAAGCATATTCCATGCTATCCAAGAAATCTGTCTTTTCCCTTCCAATCTCTGGGATATTCTTCATTGTTTAAGAACACAGTGGAACTCTCTGATGACTCTGACTTGTCCTGACCCATCTAGAATAGAACCTGAATTTCAAACTAACCATACAATAGAGGTCAAAGTTAGTGTCAAATGGTGGAGGCAGAGGCATCACACAAACCGCAGGAAGGACAACCATTGGACATCTTTTTCAGACTCTAGAATTTTGATCACATGTTTGAAGATCACAGCCAGTGTCCTGCCTCTCAGACTTTCTGGAAGAGACTCTTCAGTGTGTCTCCAATTTTAAATCTAAGAACTATTCCTTTGTTTAAATTTTCAATACAAAACCTTGTCAACCAACCGCCATAGAAGATTCAAGAAAAAATGGTATTGAGAGATG